CTCGCTCACAAACTCACTCACTTCTCTGGAACATTGTAGAAAAGTTGGCGATCTGGCTCTATTTCATAGATATTTTCATGGACGATGCTCTTCTGAAATTTCAACAATAATTGCCAAGGGAGGTGTTCCCCGAGGCATATAATTTCCAGAAATTTGAGAAGAACACCAATTCCTACCTTATTTTCCTTGGTTCTCACGATGTTTGCTGAACATTGCAGGATATCCATTTTCGTGGGAACCAGAACATGAAAAAAAGTTTGACAGTTGAAATACCGCGAAGCGGGATCGTGGATTATTCTGTTAAACTGAACATCACGATTTCTAACTATGCAGGAAGTTTGAGATGTAGGTACATAAATTTCAAAGACATCAACCAGTGGTTGGGTAACAAAACAAAATTGAATAAAAATCTAATTAATAAACGAAATGCCAAAAGAAAGTTCATATGAATTGTGAAAGACTTCAGCACTCAACTGTGCTTTTTTCTGCGGACTTGTTTCGAGAATATTTCTTAGTTGGTTCTCTGGTCACAGCTCAATAGGCTGTCTAAAACACGAAAAAAAAAACAGACCTGAAATAGACTAATTTCTGTTTAAAATTTGCCATATTCATTATAGGCAAATAATGATAATGATAAGTAATACCAAGAATCGATGGTTCGCCCCTCTTGAAATGGTTTTATCGTGTCCGCTGTACGCGCTCGGGTAAATTCGCCTCCTCAGACGGTGCTTGCCCTAGTCTCTAGTCCGGTGCAGCAGGAGTGCAGGAATTGCGTTGCACTTTCCTGCCGTACCAGAGACCGGTCGATAATCGCCTCGCAGAGGCAGATCCTGCGGTTGCCATGGCGACGAGACTGGTGCTTGTACGGGTCTCCCTGGGGAGAGGTCGTGAAAGGACTCGCCCAGGGATAAATTGAATGAATATTTTTTTCCTCCGATTGGCAGCAAATATTAATTTTGCTGACACATATCGATCAGCAAAGTATTACTTTTCCTGCCTAGGCAGCAAAGTGGATACTTTGCTGCCTAGGCAGCAAAGTGGTTACTTTGCTGATTGATATGTATCAGCAAAATTAAAAATCCATAAATCGTTTATAATTTCCTTTATATTCCATCCGAGACTTCTCCGGCAACAAATTCAACTCTATATTTTTTGCCACCTCCCTTATTAATGGAGGTGTAAGTATACTTTCAGGTCGCTATCACTGTCCATTATACAGGGTGTTTCGAAATTCGACCGACAACGTTTGACAGGTGATAGCCCTCGTGATTTCATAATCATTGAGATAGGAACATTCGGTCTTCAAGTGTTCAGTTCTCGAGATACAGGGCGTTGAAGTTAAGAAATTTAAATAGTTGTTTCGCAATATCTCAAGAATAATTGAATATAATGCATTCAACTTCGGTATATGGTTTCATCTTTGAATGGGCCATTTTTTGACCTGGAAGCCATTCCGGACATTTTGTCCAGTGGTGCCCTACAGGGGGTTGTGGCATTTTTTCCTTCCATATTTTCTACGCCACTGATTGAATTTCGATTATTTCCAATTCCTCGAATTCATTGTTCAATTTTGTTCAGAAAATGCATCACCTTCAACTGAGCTGAAATAAACAGTTTTCGAGATATTCGACCCAAAATAGAAGATTGCATAGTAATATTTCATCATTTTCAGTAGTAGAAAATTGCAAAAATATTTTTCTGGTGTTGAGTAGATTAGATACTATTCAGATCTCATTCCATAGCTGAACAGAAATAGTTATTCCACACATGAAGAGAAAACAAAAATTTTCGTAATTTTTTACTACCGAGGAAGATGAAAAATTACTATGCATACTTCTATTTTGGGTCAAATATCCCGATAACTGTTCATTTTAGCTCAGTTGAAGGTGATGCATTTTTTCAACATAACTGAACAAACAATTCGAGAAATTGGAAATAATTGAAATTTCATCAGTGGCGTAGAAAATATGGGAGGAAAAGTTATCACAACCCTCTGTAGCGCATCTCTGGATAAAATTCTCGGAATGTCTTTCTGGTCAAGAAATTAATCAGTGAAAGATGAAACCATATACCGAATTTGAATGCATTATATTAAATTATTCTTGAGATATTGCGAAAAAACTATTTAAATTTCTTAACTTCAACGCCCTGTATCTCGAGAACTGAACACTTCAAGACCGTCTGTCCCTATCTCAGTGATTATGAAATCACGAGGGCTATCACCTGTCAATGTATAATGATTCAAATATACCGATATTTTTTCGCACAACTGTCAGAAATTTCATGAATTGTCAAACCAACAACTGCGATTTCTATCGAATTTTATTTTAATTGAACACTATACAGGAAGAATAAAGAGATTGTGGGAATTGTATTTATTCGCAAATACAATATTCTCCCATATCATTATGAACAATCGGAGAAAAAATTATATGTTCAACTCGGCAGCAAAGTAGATTGACTGCCTTAGCTGGATTCCTAGCCTCGCTACGCTCGGCTATGAATTCAGCCACGGCAGTCAATCTACTACTTTGCTGCCTAGTTAAACAAATAGCTATTATCTTATTAGTAGGGGAGCCGACTGTAGATTTCTACCATCATCTGATAACGAAATGATATACAGGGTGAGGCATTAGTGCGTCGGAGCTCGATTGCTCGAGTTCTATGATAGCTAGAAACTTGATTCAAATACGAGTGTCAATGAGACAACAAGGTCCGTAACTAGAAATTATTGCCGCATATACAGGAAGCATCGGAAGAGATCTAGAGGGTCAGGATCACTTTTTTCTAATGGAATGCCCTATATTTTAACACATTTTTGAAGCATTTCTGTGACCTCCATCCACTATTCATTTTGTGTGAATCTTATCATTTGTGAAGTATAATAAATGTGTAAGAAATTCTGGCACCCTTTCGAAAAATTTATTTTTCAAAATACAAAATGTGTGGTGCAGCTTGAATCAAAAGCTAGCCCACACCCATTTCCAGGAGAACGGGGACTGTAAAAAAATTTTCGATTGGGACGCTTTGTAATAAATGTGTACAAAATTCTGAAATAGTTCTGAAAATTGGGATGCTTTGATAATTGAACATTCTCTATCCGTCTAAAATATTTTGATCGATACAGTGTTGCCACTTCTATCAGAAACAACTTACAATTTTGTTATTTCAAATGGAACACCCTGTATTGCATTGCATTTTGTATTTTTCATATAAAACTCATTGTTCAATTGTTGACATCATTGTTGACAATGTTCATATCATATCATATCACCTGACGAAGCTACTGTGTTACCGAAACATGTCGTGTGTTTGAGAACTTTGTGGAAATCTTATCGTTTGTGAAGTTTTTTCATTTGCCATGGATTTCCATCAAGTAACGGCCGAGTCAATTCAAAAAATGATTTCATATCGTATTCGATGTATTTCATGGCGGATAACAGTAGAACAGAGTGTCAGATTTAGTTGTGATGGTAGGATATTTGTCTAACTTCCCAACGGGGGAAGATTTCAAGTGTTCCAATTAATGACCACTTTATTGCAGAAGGTCAGTGAATAATAGGGGTTACAAAAAATTTATTTTGAATGCGGGCCAATGCTATTTCCACTAATTTAACCGAAGAACAATAATTGGACAATAATTGAATATAATTGACATTGAGCTGCTTGTTGCAAAATCAATAACGAATAGATAAAGAAACTGGCTAACTCGTTGAATAAAGAACATTTTAATAGTTCTTCGAATGAAATAGGTATTAGTGCAATAAGGTTTATAATTACTATGCATTTCCATCAAGTCACACCCAAGTCAATGAAGAAGAAAAGTAGAAACTGTAAAAACTTCACAAACGATAAGATTTCCACAAAATTCTCAAACACACAACATGTTTCGCTAATACAGTAGCTTCGTCAGGTGATACACTGGTACAATGAACTATACCATTTTGTTCGGAAGTATCAATCTGAACTTCATTCACTTGTGTTTTTAACGCTCCCCAGATGAAGAAGTCGCACGGATTCAAATCTGGAGACCGCGGAGGCCATTGAATAGGTGCTTCCCTTCTCTTACCAATCCATCTATCAGGAAATTGTTCGTTCAGATATTGTCTTACTGCACGTGCAAAATGGGTGGTGCACCGTCGTGCACGAAGAACATGTTTCGACGAACATTGAGGGGCAAGTCCTCTAATAAATTATGTCCCTAAAGCTGCACCAGCATTTATGGCCTTTTCGTTCTCCAGATACTTCTAATAGGCCATACACCGTGGATCACCCTTTATGTTCATAATTATATCTGAGAATATTCCTCTTTTTCTGTGACGGGAAAAAAGTTTGGCATTTCATCTCTGTTGGCAGGTTATAAAATGTCACTATTCATAAATTACTTTTTTCCCGAGGAAAAAAAGTGAGTACTTTTTTCCCGGATATATATCACATATATATACACTGTTGATGGCTTTTGTTGTGCTTCCGAAAAATGAGTCAATAATACCGTCTCCGAGATAGAACTGCAAGTCCTTTTATCTTCCATTCGACTTCGCGGTTACGTAAGAGATAAATAACCACTAAATTCGAAATTTTTTGAAATCAAATCACAGAATTAGACTGACAGATATTTGATTACTTCAAAAGAATGATAAAGATGCCTACAACGCAGGTGTCCCTAGTTAAAACCTTAAAATTTTACGTCGATAATTTTCAGATTTCAAAATAATGTAATATCTTCTCAATATTGATTCGTCCTTTTTTCTGTCACTGAAAAAAAAAGTGCATTATACACGGGAAAAATATCAGATTTTAGCTCACGGTTTTTTGTCTACCTCCGCTACGCGTCGGGAGACAACACAACCTGGAAGCTAAAATCTACTACTATTTTCCCTCGTATAATAAATAACTATTTTTTTGTAATTTAGTGGTCTATCAGGCCGAGAAAATGAAAGCTAAGTTACTATAATACAAGGGTAGATGGTTATGCTTGCACGCTTCTTAATGTCACCTACCTGATTGGGATGGACATGCCAACTTCTTCTTTTGCCTTGCCTCTGCAAATAGCTCAAATCTCCGTGTTCTATGAGCATGTTGTAAGGCGAACCTCCTCTCATCTGTTGACCGTGGTCTTCGAAAACGCCCGGTATTAATCGCAGTCTATTAGCGGGGCAAATACCCTGAAAATTGAAAAAAAAAAATAGTTCATTATACATCAAGAGACAGGAATGCAAGATATTTTCCAAGGTGCGAGGGAAAAATAGCATTCTGTCCTGGGGTGTATATACTATTTTTTCTGCGACGGGAAAAACGTTTGGCATTTCATCTCTGTTGGCAGGTTATGAAATGTCACTTTTCATAAATTACTTTTTTCCCATGGGAAAGCAGAGCTATGCGGAAAATGTAAAGTTGGTATGAACTCCCTAGGTAGAAAATATGTCACACTATTTCCCTAGGAAATAATACCAGACTTCCTTTGCCCCTCCTTTGATACCAGAAAAACTAACTTCTACTCTCGCCGGCGTAAATACGGTAATTAATGTTTCGGGCTAGGAGCTATTTCACTTCCAGTCAGCTACTTATGATCTATAAGGCACAGATCCAACCTGTCCTGGAATACTGTTCCCATATTTGGAGTGCAGCACCCAAACATACCCTGTAACTGTTTGATTCTGTCCAAAAAGGGCAATTCGTCTCGTGGGTGATGCCTCGCTCACAAACTCACTCACTTCTCTGGAACACCGTAGAGAAGTTGGCAATCTGGCTCTATTTCATAGATATTTTCATGGACGATGCTCTTCTGAAATATCAACAATTGTTCCTTCCTTGGCAGTCCCCGCGAGATTAACCCGTCGAGTTGAAGCTTCGCACTCCTTCGTGGTCACTCTGGAGACTTGCAGAACATCTCTTTGCAAAGACTCGTTCATCCAACGAACAGCGAAGCTCTGGAACACATTAGCAAGGGAGGTGTTCCCCGAGGCATATAACCTCCCAGAAATTTAAGAAGAACACCAATTCCTACCTCATTTCCCTTGGTTCTCACGATGTTCTCTGAACTTTACAGGATATCCCATTTCGTGGGAACCAGAACATGAAAAAAAATTACGCGAAACGCTCGTTTGTAACGGTGGCCATTAGCTAATCATTATTAGCCTTTGTTGTCTTTACCGTCAGGGTTGGACGAGTAGAAAATCGAGCGTACTGGATCCCTAAGGTTTTTTGCCAGGGATGCATTACAAGGGAACAGGAAATCATTGGACGATTGAAGAGATCAAGGGATATTATGAAGTGAAAGTTTTAGAGACTGTGGTTGAATGAATCAGATACGAGATCAGATACAAAAATTATACCCAAAATACCAGAGTAAGTTGTTATAGTCAATAGGTAGTGACTACTTATCAGAAAATTGTGGATATTATCTCATCAGGAAGTCATCAAGTAATCCCAGAAAATTTCAAGGTATTCTTGGATAGTTCTAGAATTTCATATAGAATTGATTAAGATTGTCGGGAGTTGATATGATATCACTGAGTAATACCAGAATCAAAGTCCAAGAAGAAATCAGTATCTCGTCTCACAAATTGATCTGATAATCACAGGAAATTAAGGGATACTAAGTAATTCCTATAAATCGTACATAGTTATTGGATAGTCCAAGGGTTTCATGTATGAGGTCGTTGAGTAATAAATACCAGGTTCAACTGAAGTAATCCAAGAAAAACAATGGGTAGAATAAGAAATCAGCGAATGACCCCAAGAATATTTGAAGAAGTTCAGAGTTCAAGTGAATCATCTCCAATGAATTAATGAATTATTGGCATTCAATTACTCCACTTTGTCGTTAGCAACTTAAATTAGTTTGTGCAATATTTCTAACGCTTTTTTCACGTAAATAATAAGTCTATGCGTTGTTCAAAATCTTTGAATTTCAGAGCTCATTCCACATGTAACGTCATGACCGCCATTTGGCGATACGTCGAATAAATGCTGACGTCAGTTTTAATGCTGTTTCGTTATTGGTCAGATAATCTTCCATTTCCACTCATGAAGCAAGGTTGTCAAGTCACCAATTATAATCAAGTTATCAAAAAGATGTTCGAGTCCTGTCGTTGAATAAAACATAATAGGAGGATCTCATGATATTTGAGATGATATTATAGTTCATTCTTGACTTTCTAGACCCTAGAGCAATCAGCATGTCCAAATATTTCTTATTCTCCATAACAAAATATCATGTGAATGTGGGAGACTTGGCAACATTGTGCTGAATGCTGAGAACTGACAAGACAACGCCCACAAGTCAGGCGCGGAATTGTCACGTTCACCGATTCGAATGTCTTCTAGTGTGAATTAATATAATTATTATTTCCACAAATGTATTATAAGCAATAAGCCACAAATCATAAGGGGACACTTTGAGACGATTGAATTTTTATTGCTCATTAGGAATATTTCCAATTTGCATGGTCCTGCGAGCCGGATTTCATGAAGGAATTTGCCTACAATAATATATGGGGCTGGTTCTCACTTAATACAGCTAGTATAAGGGTTTGATGAATGAATTCTATTTTTGATATTTCAGATTGACATTGAAAGTTTGTATTGACTTTTCTTAATTATATAACAAAATTCTATAGTTCACGACAACATCACCAATTGTCTTTATAAAGGGTGAACAATATTATACAGTGTGACCCATTTTTAATGGAAACACCCCTGAATCTTACGTGATCGTTGGGTAAGGATTCTGAAATTTGCTGGAACGAGAGGTATACCAAAAATGCACTTTATGACGAAGTGGAGTCATCCTCAGTATTATACACTGCTCGCCAACAGCCATAGAACCACCCCAATTTCCGGAAAATGATATTAGGAGAATAGGTTGAAAATCACTTCGGATTCGGAATCAGGACGCCCAATTCCCTAACTATCCATAGTTTTCCTAGAAAATTTTCAGTTCAGAAAAATTAAATTTTGTCTCACTTCTCATGGAAGCAACACCGTAATCTCACGTAATTTTTGAGGTGGGGTTCTGAAATTTGCAGGAGGAAGGGAAAGTCCAAAGATGAAGACAATTACGTAAGATACGGGGGTGCTTCCGTAAAAAGTGCGACAAAATTCAATTTTTCAGAACTGAAAAATTTCCAGGAAAACTATGAATAGTTTGGGAATTGAGCGTCCTGGTTCCGAATCCGAAGTGATTTTCAACCTATTTTGACTCCTAATATCATTTTCCGGAACTTGGGGTGGTTCCATCGCTATTGGCGAGCAGTGTATATCACTGAAGATGACCCCACTTAGTCATAGAAAGCATTTTTGGTATATCTGTTTCCATTAGAAGTGGGTCACACTGTACATAAAATGTAGTATGAGTAATTCCAGGAAATCGTAATAAATCATCATGTACCAGGAATTTGAAGGATATCTAAGAATAATTCCGAAATCATTTAGGAAGTTCAAGGAAATTTATGATGAATCATTGTATGATCTTGAGGAGTAGGTATGTTGGAAATAATCAAATCGCCTAGTCCTAGGAATCAATGTATTAATCCCTTGGAGTCATTGAGAAACCCCAAGAATTCATCAATTAATCCCAATAAATTTGGATTTTTCATTTTGTACGATCGAAAAGGTGAACAAAAAAGTTTCTGAACGAAATCATGATGGATTATCCTGCTGAGATACTAATGGGTGATCCTAAAAATACATGAACAATAATTAGAATAGTTTTCCATTGCCTTGGTGAAACAATAAGCCATTTAAACTATAGTTCAAACTAACAAATCCATTACATCATGGCACAGTCAGAAGATAAAGAAAAAAGTTGACATAATTATGTTCTGCTTGGAGCCAACAGACAGATAGAACAATTTTTAACGTCTCGATACACGTACAATTGTTTCATTGTCTTAGACTCCAGATCATTTTTATCATCATTATCAATGAGTAAACACTTAAATGGTCGGCAGATTTATTAAAATTTGAAATCAGCTATAATACACAAGTACAATCATTATTATTGTATACGCCTGACGTACAATCAGATGTTAATAACCCTGCTAAGTTTATGAATACGGTTCAGCAGAAGGTCGCCGTGTTTTAAAACTGCTTTGAGCATTTCGTTCTTGGCGTCTTGGTGTCGATTAAGTATCGTTTCGCTAACTTTATCAATCTTATAGTTCAGTCTGCCTGCAGCGATCAATTTACTCGCTTCGTTCTCGATAAAATCCAGCGAAACGCCGAACTGTTGAGCCATATAGGACAATTTGACGGACTTGTAGCTGGTCAGCAATTGGTCGTACGCTTTCGTTTTCATTTCGCGTACGTAATATTTGTAGTGCGGATGGAGAAATTGGTCTTGTTTGAGGAATGTTTCGATATCGGCCAGGCGTCTGAAGAACACTTTGTATTCGCAATCGTAAAAGGACGACAAGTATTCGTTGAAAGTCTTGTCGCAGTGCAAGGCTTGCTTGACGTCGGGATTGTCTATCAGCTTCTTTTTCAGGTCTCCTCTGTTCATTGCAAACATTGCAGATATGACTGTATACCTGGAAATAGTATATTGTTTAACGAGCACGGAATGATAGTGATTTCCTACGAGAATGAAGTTGACAGCATGAGCCATCGGCGACTGCTGCAATCATTCGAACACTATGATTTTTCTACGGCTATAATAGATAACGGCAGCATTTTCCTGTCAAGTAATGCTCATCTATGTATTAGACAGAGCTGTCATTGCTTCACATTTAACATGCCATGAGCGATGAGATTTTTTTGGAATAATAACACAATGGAGTCATTGTGATATCAGATACGGAAATGAAATTGATGACATACAAAGTACCTCATCGATGTATCGAACACAGTAAGACAAGAGCAATCTTGTGTTACAGCCGTAGAAAAACATGTTTTTTTCAAAGCAAACCGTTTTTGTATCTCTACTACCTGCCTCACTTTCCTTCTCTATCAATATTAATTTCTACTCTCTAACTACGACTATATCATCTCTGCACTTTCTACGCTCTGCTCTTCATTCCTAATTCTACGCGCTTCTGCTACATACACCTTTTACTCTATACTTCAACTCTCTATTTTCTTACTATTCTTCAACTCTCTATTTTCTAGTGTAATGTTTACTCTCTATTTCCACAATTCCATTATAACTTCTACCTCTGAGCTC